CAGCCTCACGTCTGTCAGTCTGCCCCAGTGCAACTTTGGCTACAATTGTGGGTTACCACCATCAGCGTGTCTGTCAGTGTGAAGCACTTTGAAGTCGTCTTTACTGAGTAAAGCTCTATGTGCCACTCTGACAGGTCGGTGAGGAAAAGGGGTATAGTAGTTTTGGGTTTTATTATAGTTTAGTTTAACTTTGATGCGACGTCATTGGAGTTTTTCCCCATTTTTCTGTTTTATTTTTCTCAGTTTCAGTTTTTGTTATTTTGTTAGTTTTAGTTAACTATAATTACCTTGGTGAGGAAATTCAGGGCAACAAATGTCAGCACAACACAAACATGGTTGTTCCACCAAGATAATTTAACTAGATTTTTCAAGCCATTTGCAATAGTTTGTAAACAATATGTTTTTTATTCATTTATTTACTTATTTTCTCGTCTTGTCAGGCTTTTCAGGCATAGCATACAGGGAGGCTGGTTGACTACATATAAAAAGAGTTCAAAGATAAATCAAACGTCTTGGAGTTGTTAAAAAGGTAGAAAAAACAAAAATGCTCTTACAATGGAGTTTGTGCTGTTTTCATTATTTTTTACTTTTCTAAGATTTATATAAATCTGTAAATTCTCCAAAGCAACATGCTCTGCTTTCTGTGGGAGATGTTGGTAAGTTTTCTGAAACAATGTCTACATTTCTACACCTTTTTGACAATTGGGCTTCTTTTAAAATGCTGAAATAATCTGACTGAAAAATCTGAATGAAAACATTTTCACTGTGCATCTTCACAGAAAGCAGAAGGAAAGGCTTAAGTTGCAGAACTACAAGCCGCCGACTTTTGTAACATAAACAATCAAGATGAAAATCATGAAATCAAAAGTAAAATATTTTCTGATAAACCGTGAGGGAATGAAAGATTGAAGGGCTGAGAGCGAAGAAACATGAAGAAATAAAATAATGTACTCACTGAAGAAGAAGCAGACCAACGTAAAACCAAAGTTCATCCTGAGGTGCTGATGTTTTAAATGTTTCTCTTCCTCCTTCAGTGAAAACCAGGAACTTAGCTGAATGTCTGAGTTCCTCCTTTAAGCATTCAGTCATTCTCCTCCTATTTCCACTGCTCAGTTTAATTGTTTATAAAAAACAAAAACAAAATTCTTCATCAGAAGGGGATTTCACTGAGGAAAATTCACGCTGCAAAATATTTAAACTGACAATAAAGCGAGTAACTTTTAGACTGAAATGCAATGAGCAGTTTGAATTTGAACAATGAAGTATTTTATTTGTGAGTTTCAGGTACAGACATCCAGTTGGTGCTAATAAGAATATAAAACATCTGTTTATTTTGCTGCTTTAGCCTGCAGGAACGTTTTATTTTACGGCAGAACTTCAGAAAACTGTTTGGAAAACACATAAAGTTTGTGCACTGCCAAAATACTGTTGTTTAATCTCATATTTATCTTCAGTGAAGTCAAAATTATTCATGTACTGAATAATTTTACTTTCAGAAATTCTAAATCCAAATAAATAACATGACAGATAGAGGTAACTGAGCTTTAGTAGCTTCAGAAATATGTTTATTAAATGTAAAAAAGGAGCTAAAAATCATAAAAACCTGCAATAACACAAAACTTTTATGGTTTATACAAATGTTCATGATGGATAAAGAAGATCAAAATAACAGTTCTAGACATGAATACGTAGCCAGCTTACTGTTGATTTGTTGTTGTTTTTGCTTCTGTTAGCTCAAAGCTAATCATATAAACTATCTGATTATCCACAGCAAGTCACGTTGGAATAAAGAGCAGATGAATCATCGCTCAGGTTGGCAGATCCCACGGCTGACAGAGGTTCAGAGCAGGTGACATTAACCGCATGGCCACAGGGGGCGCTGTTGGAGGAGGTGGTGGTGTTTGTAGGAAAATGCACTTCAGCGTAATCCACAGCGTCAACTTCAACCTGGAGGAAAACAAGAGAACAAAACTTATCTTTTAAAGGGTTATATTATTATTTTAATTATTATTAGTAGGAATGAATTATTATTACAAAATGAAAGCTTCTTCGGTCACAGCGGAGGCTCAGACGTCTTTTGCTGAACATTTCTGTTCAGTTTTTTGTTTTTTGTTTTTAGCAAAAATGGCGACAGCTGATAACGGCAACGGCTGTTCGTAACCTAGCAACCGAAATCAACAGAAGGCAAGATGGTGACAAAAAGTCAAAACTAGATCCTGTTGTGTATTCTTCAAAATAATTCATGCTTTGCACTTAAATATGTTCACCTTTTTCTAATCATGTTAAATTCAGTGAATAATAATAATTCTGCTTAACATATAATTGTAAATAAGTCACTAATCATGCAAATTATAGTTAATTGCATATAAGTCACAACATCTATCACTGATCATATTATTGCTTTTGTTCAAGAATCCAACTTACGTCGTTCTTTGGACATCCGGCGAGGCTGTACAGGTCAGCTCTATTTGGTTCACAGGATCTGACCAGAGAATAAACTGGAGATTTTTCCTGAGGAGGCGTTTCGTTTTCCCTCTCCTCCAGTCTGATCTCATCATACACTGTACTGACTTGCAGAAGGAGAAGCTTCTCATGCATCAGCCACTTCAAGAACCAACACTTTATACTTGTTTTAATAGGGACTCAAACTCACCTTTGTGGGGTCAGAATATTCTGTTTTCACTAAAGGGCCTGAAAGACACAAAATATTAATATTTCCTTTGTTTCGGTTAAAATGTCCCATCTGTATTTTCATAGTATCTTGCAAAAGTGTTCATAACCCTCAAACTATTTCAGTCTTCTTCACATTACAACCAAAGACTTTTGGTTGCAATGTGCAATGAAAACAGCTTTTGAGTCAACAAGTTCATATTTGACGCATCAGTCATATTAGAAGTGGTCTGATGTATCAGAAGTTGGGAATAATCCTGAAAATCTTTTCTTTATCTCATGTGTTCAATCCCAACTTAAGAAAATAAACATTGTGTCTGGTTGTTTTAATGGTGTCAGGGCAGAATCGTTGTTTTTCTTGTAACTCACCTTTTTTTTGCCCAAAGTGCTTCTTCTGAAAGAAATTCAGCAGAGCCACAGCTAACGTTATGATCAGGATTGCCAGAACCAGAACCACAGGAAGTAACAGACCTGCAGGGACACTGACAGCTGAGTTTCACTCTGAAAAATTGGTTGATGTTCATATTTTATCCTGTCATATTTTATCCAGTTTCCTGCTTCCTGGTTATCTAAAACATATCAGGCAAACAGAAAATATTAGTCAAAATTCACATTTTGCATGTTTTTGTCCTTCAGTTTGGGTTTCTACTGCTTCTAAAAATGAATCTAGCGCTTAACGAAACCACCCAGCCCGTTTTTTGGAAATAAGTTTATGTTTTTTGGGGCCTGAAAAATTAGCCGTTTCAGAAACCTCTGGAATGTAACGTCACAAATCAGCAGGCACTGCACCGTTACCTAGCAACCACAGCCTGTTACCTAGCAACCCAAGAAGAGTTCCAGCACGTTTGGTCAGCTAGTTTCACAAATAGCTGCTTGAAAAGGGTTTTGCTGTTGACTAACCATCCAGAAAAAACTCGCTGCATTCTTGTTGGTTGTGCAGGAGGCTCTACTTCTGCTTTTCAAAGATGTACGGTTGTACGAGAGTAAACATTGATTTGGAAAAAATAAGATGTAAATGTAATGAATATATTTTGTATAACTCATAGGTCTATTATAAGCTATTCATGGAATTTAATTCAATTCAAAAATACTTTATTGATCCTTAAAGGAAATTAAATGTTGTTGTAATGTTGTTCATCATAGCGTTACAGGTAGTGATGGCAGGAAAGATAAAAGGCCACCCTTATTTAAATCTTGTTGATTTTTTGCATAAACCCCAGAAAACTATAATTTCCTGATTTAACCTTTTAGATCAAAATCATTTAAAATGTCTTATGTGGAGTTATTTTATGTTAAAGACTTTCAAATTTTTTTTAAGCAGCTTTTCATTAACTGATTTTGATTAAGTCTCTGATACTCTCTGAGGTGCAAAGTGAAACCTCATAACCTGAACGAGACAGTTTACCTGGAGCTGCAGGAGCCTGGATGGTTTTAGAGGAAGATGGAGGAGAGGAACTCTGGACTGATGCTGTTCTGAAGGATGTTGGGAGAACTGTTGATGTTGTAAAAGTTTGCAGAGTCCAGTTTGGTTCTGTAGTTGTTGAAGTTGTAAACACTGAAACAGAACCAGGGGTTCCTGAGGGAAATTTTAGCAGAAGAATCAGTCAGAGAGCAGAATCTTCCGTTCTGAGACATTAAGAAAAGTTTTCTGGACTTTATGTAGAAAACTCACCTTCATTCACAACCAGCTCAAAATCTTCATATCGGGTTCCAGTCCAAGTTTCATCCAAGCGACACCTGTACCGTCCTGAGTCCGACTTTTTCAGGTCTTTGATGGTAAAATAAAGAAAATCCTTGAATATAATGATGTTTCTTTCGTATTTAACACTGTATCTTCCTCTCTCAGCTGTGTTGTTGGTTGTTTCAATCAGAATATTTTCTCCTCCACACTTATCTTTACAAACAAACTTCCTGCTTCCAGAGAGGAGAAATGGACAAGTAACTGCGATGTTTCCTCCTTCTACTCCAGTTTCCCTCCTCACAGCGTTTCCATCCTGCAGCTCTGTAAAGATAAAGTTACTGTAAGACCAGGCAGAATAAAATAATCTAAAAATTAAACTGAGGACATGAGGTGTTTATTCAATTGGTGGCAAAATTTTAGAAAATGTTAGCTTAATAAAAAAATTCACTCTCTCCTCGTTTCAACAGGTTAACTCCATGCTATGAATTTAAACTAAGAATAATAACTTAAGGTTTTTAAGTACGAATGTTTTTTCTTAGCTTCCTGCACGGCCTTCCTCTGCTGACTGCATCTTTACTTGTGAAATGAGGTTTCCACTGTCACTTTACATGTTTCTTATTCCTCTAAGTTATTATTGCTCTTACTCTAAGTAAGAGCAATTTAGTTTAATTTGTTTGGCTCAACAGCCTTTTGGTTTGAATGAGAAAGTTTGTATCTAACTAATAAAACTTGCATACTTCTCTACTTTGTTAAATGCTGAGCTCTTCACCAGATTATATCTTAGTTTCTGTAACTACGGTTTGCATGTTGCTGCTGTCTGTGGTTCACTGCAGCTCTGATCTTTGTCTCAAGAAGCAAAGACCATAACTTCTCCAAAGCAATAAACTGTTTCTGTTAACCAAAAAATGTAAATGTTAACATTGGCAACAGATGTTTTTGTTACTTTTAAGTTACGTGGTGGAAAAAATGGATAAGCACAAACCCAAAAAATATGATACATTTTATTTTTTTGGTAAAAGGAGCTAAAACTAAAGTTACTATGATGGAGGTCCTTGATTAGCTTGCAAACATATTTATGTTTATAATTTTAAAAGGTTTAAAATAAGCTAGCAGCTGAATTTATTCATGTTCTAAAGTGAGCATCAGCGTGTCTTACCACAGAAACAAACAGGAAGAGACACTGGTCACATTTAGGGCCATTTGAAACAAAGTCCACTTCATGCAAAAGGTAGAAAAACTAATAAAGTGGAAGGATGAAGCAGAGAAACAGATAGAAATAAACTAATAATGTACTTACTGAGGAAGAGGAGGCAGATCAGAGAGAGACAGACCTTCATCCTGAGCTGCTGATGGTTTCTAACGCTGCTTCTCTTCCTGCTTCACTGATAAACCAGGAACATCTCTGCAGGATGCAGTTCCTTCGCTGAACACCAGAGGTCACTCTCCAATTTATAACTTTCGAGTCGCTTAAATTCAAATTATGCTCCATCATTCAACTTTCTTGTGTACAGTAACTTTTACAAACATGAGAAAATAGGATCACACTGTTTGTATTTGAAGCAAAAGTTACTGACGTTATTTTAAGGCATTTAAATCACTTCACACCTTCAGCAGTTTGTTCCTCCAGCCACTCTTTAGACCTAAACTATTTCTGTTATTTCCTTCTAAGCAAATAAAGTGTTTCAGCACAAACTGAACTTGTCATTTTTTATCTAGTAATATACTTATGGACATATACTGTTTTATTGTTGTTTAGAAGTGCTACTAAAATATTGCCAGAAAAATTAATTCACACTAGTTGTGAAAAATACTTAAATACTGCTTTGTCACTTTTATTGTCTGTCTTATAGAAGGTGTGAACCCACCTTTAATGTTGATATTTTCTGTTTCTTTTGTTGTTTCTTTTTTGTTTAAAGCGTCACATTTACCTGATATTCTGGTAGCAACACACAGGGGGCGCTCCATAAATTGTAAATTTCAAAGGATTTTTGATGTTGAAAGTTACTTAGCTGCTTTCGATACTCCATAATGTTGAGGCTTGAATAAATTTCACTGAAATTGTAATTTTTTTAAATTCTTCTTTGACATTTGAATTCAAACTCAGGACCTTCTTGTTTGCTGTTTCTTGTTAGCCACATTGCTCCAATATATTTTATTGCACTTAATATTGATCATATTTCTAATAACTGAACCAATTGAGTCTGATCAGATATGATAGATTATGACCCCTAATTAGATTATAATAACTGAGAAACCTCAGATGGTACGTAGGATTTATTGGTGTCAAATTTTCACATTTACAAAAGACAGAAAATAACTTCAAACAAACATATTTAAAGATAAAAGTATAAAACAACCTGAAAGTTCACCATGTTTGTACTTGGTAAGCAGCTCTAATGTTATTATAAATTATCTTAAAATAGGGATGGGATGTCTTAAAATGACAAATGTAAACTCTCTGGTTTCTTCTCTCACTGAGTTGTTTCACTGAGGTGATTCTTTTAAAACACTAAAGAAACTCTGGTGTGTCATAAATATTCATACACTCCTGGTTGACGTCATCATTCTCTGTTTCCACAGCAGAACCTGAAAAACATTTAGATCAGAGATTAAGTCCTAGAAAACCACAGCTGACTGATGATCAGAGCATGTTGGAAACATTTTGTTCTCTAGAAATGATGCAGCTGAAAGAGGAACACAGTTTAATGTTTATAAATAACTTTCCTATTTCTGTAAATTTGTTGCTGAATCTTTATTTTTACTCCTTCCTGTTTAGGGATCTGACTGCTCTGCTGATTCTTCCAATATGTTCAATGAAGCTTCAGACAGACACTTGTTCTGGATTAATAAAACTCTGAAGAAGAAGAAAATGAGGAAGAAGCCTTCAGGGCTAATAGGACCTTAATATAGATGTAGGTTTTCATAAAGGAAGGACAAGTGTTTCTGTGTTTTCTCACCTTTGCTGTTCATGGCCCTCCTCTTCATGCAGAAAATAACCAAAGACGTTGATAACAAGATGATTTTGACAACCAAAGACAAAACCACA